AGCATATCCAGATTCCATATGTATGACATTCAGATAATCCTAAATTCATAACATGCTATGTTAAAACCTTCAAAATTATTACTAACATGTAACCATACATTTATAAGATTGCTAGTAGGAAACTCCCAGACAGTAAACCTATAGACTTTAATTAAAGAAAGATTGCTCTAGGAATGTACTGTTTAGCTGAAAATCCTTCTTTATCTGTTCTATAAAGTCATTCCCTAGGTTACATCAGATATTTGAGATTCAGTTCAAAATTAATACGCAAGTTAACAAGCATCATTTATTTTCTTATATTCTTAAAATGAATATTTCATACTTGTAATTTTAACAAAAAAACATTACTCCCAATCTCGTTTATAATGATTTAATGTAATTTTAGTGTTGTATACCTAAACATATAGTCACAAAATGTCATGGGATTAAACTAATCTTATTAGAAAGCAATTATCTGCCATATCCAAGATTTTCATTCAGTTAGAATTCTATAATTCAGACTTATTTCTTGAATGAAACAAAAACAAATAATATAAACACAAAGCAAAGCTACTTCCTGTTCATGTTGTGTTTTGCTAGTTAGTATCTCCTTCCTGGTAAATTTAAGTAGCCTGCACTTTTAGTCCACTTTCCGTTGTTATAACAAAATACCACAGATGGGTAATTTATAATGAACAGAAATTTATTTAGCTCACAGTCCTGGAGGCTGGGATACCCAAGGTCTTTTAAAGTTTCATGTGGTGAGAGCCTTTGGGCTGTCCCTTACCATAGCATAAGGAAAGAAGGGTGAAAGGGTCAGCAATCACATGTGAAAGTGAGCTGGAGATAGCCGAACTTATTTTTATAACTAACCCCCTTCTCCAATAACAATTTTAATCTGTTCATGAGGTCAGTTTGCTCTTTATGTAATCACCTCTTACTAGACCTTGCATCCCAACACTTCTGCAGTGGGGATTAGGTTTTCAACACATGAAGTTGGAAGGATACATTTAAACCATAGCACCCAGGATGGTTAGTGATTGACTTTTTAAAAATAATATTTGAATAAAAACTTTAATGAGCAATATAGCAAGATTGCAAAGGAATTCACTGAGAAGAACTGAACCTACTTTTATGGAATTATAATATAAGAATAGATATATTAAACAAATTATCAACACTACAGTTACAGATATAGTATAATTACAGCATTGACTTTGAGTTTCTCCTCATCTAGCTAGTGGGATACAGATAAAAGCATGGGTATAAGTGCAGATACAGGTAAGGAGGATATAAATATATACTAATTAATATTTAAGAATAAAACTCATTTAGTGATGGAAGGAAGCAATGAAGAAGAAATAATAAACATAAAGAATTTGTTAGACCCACTAATCTTCATCATAAATAATTTAGAATCAGAGTCTAATGTCATAGCATGTTTGTCAAGCCCAAACCCAAGACAGACTAGTACATTCCTGCATATATCTTGATCTGGCTTTCTTAATTTTTTGATTTCTCAACTTGATTTTGGTTTTCTACATCTCACAAAAGATCAGTCTTGCCACTTTTTAGTGTCAGAGCTCAAACGTTAATTTTAACGTGATTTTCTACTGCAATTGGAGTGCTTTAACTAATACGTTTTGTCTCTTTATTACTACCTTCCTTAACTGTTCTTTATAATGTATGCTGCACAAAACCTTCCAACATGGCTTAGAGTAGAAATTACAGAGTCAGATATGTAAGCATTCTACTCTTAGTTCTATAATCTAGCTGTGTGACACTGACTATTCATTTAACTTCTAAAAACTTTAGTTTTCCTAACCAAACAGTGGGGCAAAATAATGTTTACCTCATTCAGTTGCTGTGTGGACCAAATAAGATAGCATCCTTCAAAGCACAGAGTTTTGTATATATTAAGTGTTAAATAAATGCAGGGTGCTTTTATTTTTATATAAGATTTTCACTTTTCCATTATAACTCTTTGTGCATAAATATACTTTGCTTTTTGTTATTGCAATAAACGATTTACCAGAACTTCATAGCTTTAGAATGGAAAACAGTATCTTCAAGGTCAAATGATATTATAAGGATTCTCTGTTGATTCAAAAATGGTCTTTTTTTATGGTTATTTCCTTCGCATCGCTATTATACACAATATAAATTAGGCCAGGCATGATGGCTCATGCCTGTAATCCCAACACATTGGGAGGCCAAGGTGGGAGCATCACTTGACACCAGGAGTTTAAGACTAGTCTTGGCAACATAGCAAGACCCCATCTCAAAAAATAATAAAATAAGTTATGGCTTTTATATTTGAACATACATGATGGTTTCCTTCTCTCTACATTAGAGTTACACATGGAAATAATGTTAAATAAACACAAAAGAAAATAAAAACCAATTTCATATGTAAATCTGCAGCCAAAAAAAAAAAAAAAAAAAAAAAGCCAAGAAGTGAATTGCAAATTCTGGAAAGATATTTTGTATAATGTCAGGATATAAAAAAAGGTGGAAGGTTGGGCTATGTTGGAATAAACATACTACACACACACATACCACACACACACCAACACACATATTTGAGCACATATAGACATGTTAAAGAAAAATAATCCAGAATTTTTTTCAATAAATGCATTATCATCAGATATATTAAATAGTATATTGCCTTATAATTATACTACCATACGTACTTTATAGATATTCCAAAATAGTTATTTTACTATTTCTATGATGATAATTGGTATTTTTCTGAAAGACACATAGGAAAAATGTAAAATAATAAATTTTTACCAAATTAAATATTGGTTGGTGCCAATGAATCATCTTTTGGCAGTAGTGCTAATGTTTTTATACTATCCTCTCAGTCAGTAGCCAGACTATACAGCTATTGCCTTTTCTTCTACTGAAAAATATCATTATTACTATTTTTCCATATACTTTACTCCTTCAAAGATAAGTAAAGTGACAGATCTATAATCAAGTAGACATCACAGGTTTGAAAAATGAGCTAACCAAACTACTGCTTACTTTGTTATTTAGTTATTGAAACTACCATATAGAATATTTCTCAAATAAACTTTCAATGATAAGTGACTAAATCACAACAAATTAATGTGTCAGGTACTATTCTAGGCACTTTCTATGGTCTGAATGTGACTCCCAAAATTCATGTGTTAGAAGCTTAATCCAAAATACAACAATGTTGGGAGGTGGGGCCTAATAAAGGTGTTTAGGTCATGATTGCTTTGCTCTCATAAATGGATTAAAGAAGGCTTTCGGACGTGTGTTCCTGTCTTTCTACCTTCTGCCATGTGAGGGATAGATTTTTCTTCTCTGGAGGACATAGCAGCATGGTGTCATCTTAGATATAGAAATTGAACCTGCTGGCACCTTCATCTTGGACTCTCCAGGCTCCAGAGCAGTGAGAAATAAATTTCTGTTTTTATAAATTACTCAGTCCATAGTATTCTATTATAACAACACAAAATAAACCAAGACACCACTGGAAATAAAGGACAGACGAGAACAGACATTACATTCTCGTGTGGGGAACACAGAAAAATAGAAATAACAAATAAGAGTGTATGTCTCTCTCTCTCTCTCTCTCTCTCTCTCTGTGTGTGTGTGTGTGTGTGTGTATGTGTGTATGTGTGTGTGTGTGTGTATCTGTGTGTGTGTTGCTAAATGCTTTTATTATTAACATATAAACCAGTGGAGTAATATAAAAGATAAGGTGGTCAGGAAAGCTCTCTGTGATTTAGTGATATACAAGCAAAATTAATGAAGGTGAGATCTAAGTAAATATAATAAATATCAGGTCAAATATCAATGAAAGCATAGAAAAGGTAGAAAGAAGCAGGAAGGAAGGAAGGAAAGAAGGAAGGAAGGAAGGAGAAAAATAGGGAAGAAGACAGAAAAGGAAGAAAAGAAGACAATGCATCATAACTTTCAATGTAAACCGCCTTTTTTTTTTTTCCCAAATAGAAAGCCTGTGCTACAATCATTAGGAGAAAAAATTGTAATCTTCAGTGTCCATGTCATTTCTACAAAAATAAGCCAAGAAATCAATAGTAGAACAGTTTGAAAAAAGAGAGTATTTGATTTATACCTAAGGGAAAAGTGTAAAAATCTCATAAAATTAAAGTACCATAAAATGTCACATATCAAAGAGGGCTATTCACAGTTAAACAATGTTTTATTAAGTAAAAATGTAATTAAAATGTAATGCAGGAAGAAAATATGGGAACTTACACAAAAAGAACAAATATTTGTGAACACATACGTGAGTGTGTATAAATATATAGAGAGAGATTTATAGATATATCTACTAAAATATTCACAGTTCTTTTAATTCTTTTGTGAGTGTTGAGTGTTGCGCTATAAAGATCAAAACATATCTTCTTAAAATTACATAGGAATATACCTAGTTATTTAAATCAAATTTATATTTTGTAGATTTTTAAATATTTACATATCTTTCAGAGGTAAGTTTAAAGCCTACCTTTTCCACGAAGTTTTCCTTATTTTCCCTAGCAAAAAGTAAGTATCTGAAACTTCACTTCACTTCATACATATTTAATCTATATCTATGCTGATGTACCTACTTTTGCATGTTTTACAATCCCTAAAAGTGTATGTCTTGAACATAATGAATGCTTTAAAATGTTGACAAAATAAGGAGTTATTCTAAGCCACAGGCATTTTTGAAAGAATGCTGTGCCATGGTCATATTTTGTGATTGTACCTTTGAAATAAGATATGCCTCAGTATACACAGAATAAAATATATAAAAGTAGATGTTGTAACATATACGTACTCAGGAACACAGTCAATAGGTAAAATTTAGTTGTAACCACCCCCCACAAACATAACATCTGATTTTGTATTCATAGAAGCAAAATCAAGTTGTCTGTAAATATTTATAGAGGAGAAATCAGATCATTGTAACATAATTACTTAAAAGGTTTTGGCACAACGTTGAAAAGTCAGAGTGTAAAACAATACAAATTACTTACAACCATTTCATTTAAAGACACCCAGCAATCTGGTGGGAAGTCCTGCAGTAGTGGTACTAAGAACTGAAGACAACCATCCCAGTGACACAGGAGCAGCATCATGCCGATGAGATTAAAAATTCTCACCACTGCACTGGCAAGATCATACGTCATGTGGAATATCTGTTGACCAAAATATAAAATCAATTCTTATAATCAATTTTTTAGAAAAATCAAGCATACTACTGATAGTAGGAATTGATGTTGTGTAGTGTAAGTATTGATTTAATAAAAATATGGGGATAACTTGCAGAAATAGAAACAGATTACATTTCTTTATTTTTAACAATAAGGTTGACACTCCACTTTATGAATATTACAGCCAACTATGTTTCATGAACAACAGAGATAGCATGAATATATAAATGTATGTATTAAAGAACATCGATGTTGCCAGAAGTTTTTCTTTATTGTTCTTTTGCATATTTTAGCAAAGCTACTTTAAAATAAGGTAGCAAAATTTACAAATGATGGGTAACTTCTACTGTGCTTCTCATCTCTTGTTATATTAATAGATTTGTTGAAAGACAAAGAAAATACGCAAGGGCTGAAAATCATATGCCAAAGGAGTTCAGCTGCAAAATATGAAGTAATACTTATAATAAGTTATGGTTGAAGTATGGCTATGTGAGTGGAGATATTTCTTTAATTGTGGATACTGAACATAAATAGAAGCCTTTGAGATAAAGGCTACCTGGATTTGGTTTAAAAACAATCGTGTAACACTTTTAAAAATCGTAACTGTTTCCATAAACTTTTTGTATTTTTATGGTACACGCTTTACTTTTCAGTCACACTGATTGTATTTTCATGAAATTCAATATGGTAGGTTAGATTATTTCAGAAAACCCAAACATCGTGACTAATCAACATAATCCATCAAAATTTTATAAATGGAAACAAATATGCATCTTTACATCTGTAACTATTCATTTTCTTCTAGAATTTACAAGAAATAGATTCAGAATGTGAGTCCTTTCTTTAGCAGTTTATTGTACTCTCTAACTGACTGCTAAAATAGTTTCTACTTATATTTTAGCTAGTCTAGAATAGCAAAACCCACTTGGGAGCAGACCTACATTGTAGAATTAAGTTTTGTTATAATTGTTAAAGAATTACTGCATTAATAAATACAATTAAATATAAGAAAGTACATATACACACAATAACTTCAGATATTTAGAATCACTTTTTGTATGAATCACCAAAAGAATGGTGTGTTTTTGAAGTAACAAGGCAAACTTGTATTGAAAAATTATCCAAAAAATGTAAAGAAAACAAAAAACTACGTTTGGTTTTAGAAATGATATAGCTGTAAGAAAACATCTATAATTCTTAAAATACACATACTGAACTACACAGGGCATCTGTGATTTTGCTTTTATAAAATAACCAATCTGTCTTTAATTAAATGTTTTTCAGTTTGATATTTTCCTACGAGCATTAATTCTTTCTTTAAACAATCTTTTTGAGGTAGCAATTATAGTGAGCAAAAAGATTATTTTTCCTGGGAATATACACACTGTTCTGAATACTTTTTAAAAAGAAAGTTGGCGGTTCTAGATTTTAACAGCAACAGATCACATATTTTGATATTCAGACAGCTATATACACAACTTCTTTTGTAGCATTAAGAATTTTATTTTTCTGTAAGCTACTTTTTATTTTGGTTTTAAATTTGGAAAACCCACAGAAACATCTTTTTGATATTATTCCCTCTGATATTTCTTGGTCACTGAATACATAAATAGAAACTCTACTAACAATTTCATCAATAATTTCTTATTAAAATTATATACTAAAACATAATAAAAAAAAGCTTTTACTGATAAAGTTGGAAAAAGTCATCATGGACTTAGATTTTTGTGTTGTTGTTTAGTAACAGAATTTATATTTATATCTTAATATTTCCTGAGGAAATGATTCAAGATGTCTTATGGGTAGAGACTATGTTTTGTGGGGAAATAGTGTTAAGTTGCAGAATATAAAGTTCTGGAAAAACCAGGAAACATATCACCTTTCAGCCCAATTATTTGAAGCAACTAATATCTATCTGAAAATATGACAAAATCTACAAATTATAAGTATACAGGCAGCGGCCATGATTCAATTATCAGGCTTTAGAGTGGAGTATGGAATGGTCTAGAGAACTAGCATCCATTCTTAGTAGAGCTGACTGGGGTTTTTGTTTGATTTTGCATTTTCTACCTCCTTTTGGGAAATTAGATTCTTTTCATGGGCTCTTAAGAGATAATTAAGATAAAATAATATGCTAAGTTATCAAATTCCTTTAAGAAAACCCTAATATCTCTAAAATGTTCTCCAGAGAAACAGGACCACTATTTTCATTGAGGAAGTTAATGGGGTTATCACATCAATGATAACACATTAGAAACATTTTTTGTTTTGCTACTATGTATTTCCATGAACAAGATTCCATGAATAAGATAATGCCTAGATTCAAGCCTATCTGTTACCAAATAGTCATTCCCAATTCCATAATGTTAGCTAGTACTAGTTTCATACAGTAACTCTGTAATTTTTGGAGTACTCAATAAGAGCTCACATAATTAATTTTATAAACAGTCTCCCTTATGGACATTAATATTATGTGTTCAAAATCGATATCACTTTCAGAGCTATCCCAAAATTTAACTTTGAAGAAGGTACAAACAAGTTGGGTATTTTTACATTGGTTAATAGCAGAGGCAAATTTCAACTAACCAAACCCATATACCTTCATCTTTATTATCTAACTGATAAAAGAGCATATATAAAGTATATAATATTACTTGTTATGAATACGTGAATGTGTGCATTATCTCAGCCCGATCTCATTGTCTTTTGAACCCTTATAACTAAGATACTCTGGCAGGTATAATCATTACGTATGATCTGAATACTGAGATTAATGGCTCTGTTAAAACTTTACTCCAGAAAGATCTGGAATGAGAAGTCTACTTTCTTATGGAGCTCATACATCTGTAGATAGTCAGGTTAACCAAAGAAGGAAGCATCTGATCTAACTTATGCATAGCCACAACTTATTATTAATAAGGACAGCTTGTAGGATAAATCTAAATGTGACTTCATTCACCGTACTAATCAAATGGCTAACACTATTGATTAATATTTTCAGTTTTTCTTCATCTATAGGGTGGACATTCTTAAGTAATAAATTTCCATATCAATCAGTTGTCTTGGTGCTACTGCATGAAAACTTGACTATTTGCAAAATGGTACCATGAATGACACTCAGTAAACTGTTACTAAATGAATGAATGAGAGAGTTTAAAGGGTTTAATAACATAAATAACTTTTTATGGTGTTAAGAGTATAACGCTTTGCTTCTGTATCTTAAACAATGGGATTAAACAAACAAACAAAAAATCTTCATTATTATTTTCCATCTTCTAAGTAATCTGACTTGAAACCTGACTTGAGGGCTCAGGGCTAGGGTAACAGAAAGAAAGGCTCTTTTCACTGACTAGCAATACACTTTCAAGTTACTTTCAAGGGGCATTTATAGGAGTCAACAGAAAAAAAATGTAATTAAAATAAGTTTTTCGGCCAGGTGCGGGGGCTCACGCCTGTAATCCTAGCACTTTGGGAGGCTGAGGCAGGCAGGTCACAAGGTCAGGAGTTCAAGACCAGCCTGGCCAATGTGGTGAACCCTTGTTTCTACCAAAAATGCAAAAATTAGCCGGGTGTGGTGGTGGGCGCCTGTAGTCCCAGCTACTCAGAAGGCTGAGGTAGGAGAATTGCTTGAACCCAGGAGGTGGAGGTTGCAGTGAGTCGAGATTGTGCCACTGCACTCCATCTTGGGTGACACAGCAAGACTTTGAGGCCAAAAAAAAAAAAAAAAAAAGTTTTTAAACAACTCTTTAATCTTATTTCTACCATATCTAGACTATGAACAATATATTTGGAAGACACTGTGCTTTACATTTGTTCAGCTCAGGACATTGTGCTGTTCATGTGACCTTAATAAGAGGAAAGATCTGGTCACAAATTCTCATTGAACTTTTTTTATATTATAGTTTTAGAATTTTATCTAGTTGGAGTCCAATACTTCCAGACAAGATAACTAATTAACTTTCTAAAACTGAAAAATGCTCTATGATATTTTAAGTAAGAATCCCAAATTCTACCCTAATATTTGCAGAATTGTTCATCATAAGGGTAATTTTTTGTAATATTTTCCCAGGAGCAATGTTTATTTCATCCTGTTTTTAAAAGGTCATTCTAAACTGCACTATACAACAGATATCCATAAATAAGCTGAATTCTTTAAAAATGCTTCCATATTATTTCTTGATGAACTGGATTCATCAGTCTTTCAATCTAATAGCTTGCATATAAAACTAGTGACCTTAATCTATGCTTAATTATTTGTTCTACTTTGTTTTCCTTAACCAAAACACTATCAAAAATAATTGAAGACTTCTTATATTGTGTATTAAACTGTCTTTAGTCTTTGACTTTACAGACTGGGATCTGGGCTAGTTTGTGTGATCTTAATATTGATTCAAGACTTCTTAATATACCTTCATAAGTATCAAAGTAAGATTAAGAAAATGGGCCAAAAATGGCTTTCTTGACACAGAACATTGTTTTTAAAAAGGTGTAAAACAAGGTTGGATTCTTCTGTTTCTCTTTATAAATTGGCACCTGCACGACTTATAGTTTTTAGATGGAGTATAAACATACCATCCTGACACAAAATAAAAAAAAAAAAAATAGATACTCAGATTCAGTTTTACTGCTAACATATATTCAGGGCTCAATATGTGATCGTCCTAATCAATGGCAAAATAAATACTTTTAAAGCCCTATTATACTTCTGCAATTCTTGCCCTGAAAGTCATTCAGGTCATCTTTCCATGCTTTAAGTGCAAAGTGTAGAAGGTTTTACTTCATATGAGAGAATAACACTCTTCACAGTAATCTCTTTTAACACTGACCAATGACTGCAGTCATTGGATGAATCTTATCAGTCCCCGTTTTAACTAGGATTTTATTCGGACTGAGAATACTTTAACATTTAAAAGGTCAACCATCTGGACATCTCAAAACTATCAGCTTCTGTCCATAGTCTAAAAGCAATAATCCACTCTTCAGCC